CTAGAGGGCCACAAGGAGACTCATGGATGGAGGGCCTCCGTTGGGTACAACAGACATCTGGATGTTCAGCAAGGACCTATGTGTGATTGGCAAAGGAAGTGAGCTGGTCACATTATGTAGCAAGTGAAAGGGGATACAACCAGACAGATAGCTGGAGGGCTGGCCCTGAAAAGAGCTTCCAGAATATGGAGGGAATCATCTTCGGAGAACTGAGGGCAAGGAGTACTGAGGAACCAGAGCCACATAAGGGGAGAAGACACAGATGGGCTGCAATCAGTATTGTTGGATGGAAAACATAAGTAGATGGGATCTCAGATCCACTGCTGGGCCCATCAGGGAATTAGGGCACTGAGCCCTCTTCCTCTCTACCAAAGGGTCCCTCTCATCTCCGGACCCAGGCACACTTCCAAAAGAGGGGTCAGGTTCTTTTGTCTCATTGGCTTTTTTTCTTTCTCCTTATATCTCCATCCCAGAGCCCTGGGGAAAATTACTTAAAGCTTAGACTGAGGTCTAGGGCCTTCCTAAAGCAGGAGAGTAAATAGATATTCAGTGTATAAATAAACCAGACATAGGACAGCTATTTATTTCCTCTATACAAAAGAAATGCTCAACATGTAAGACCCACAATTGCACATGGATAGAAAAGCTGAAACAAGCTGTGCTAACAATGTGACTCCTGTTATACTCTCTTCGGAGGATGATTCTGCAAAAGAACACATTAATACTGAGCTGTTGTTCAGTCATGTCCTACTCTTCACGACTCCATTTGCAATTTTCTGTGCAAAGAGACTGGAGTGGTTCACCATTTCCTTCCCCAGCTCATTTTACAGATGAGGAAACTGAAGGCAAACAGGGTGAAGTGACTTGCCCAGGGTCATATATCTAGTAAGCTAAGCATCTGAGGCTGGATTTGAAGTCAGGAAGATGAGTCAGGAAGACCTGAGTCACCTTGACCTCATGGAAAGCTACTTATTCTAAGGGAGAGTGGAAGGAAGAGAGAGACAAGATGAGTCATTTGCTTTTGGAGGTCCTCTCCTCCTGGCTTAGTGACCAATCCTATAGGATGCAGCTTTGATAAATGGCTTCCCCCACCCCCAGGCATTGTAGGGGGAGGGGGCAAGAAATACTTCATCCCAAAGTGACAAATCCTTCCAAGGTGATCACACGGGCTCCTCCATGGGAGGACCCCCATCAGCACGAATGCTCCATTGCATGGAACCGCACAACAGGGGAGCTGAATCTCTTTCCGCTGTTGTTCTTATGAAACCCTTTCTCCTCCTTTGGAGAGTGTCTTTCCATTTACTATTAATAGGATAGTGAAAGGAGGTCAGCTCGGACCAATTCTGAAACTAGATCTGAGATACATTTCAGCTTCAAGATCCCAAAATATAGTACAGCACGTGCCCCAAATGGAAGGCAGCTAGGGGGCAGGGAGGGGACGGGATGTGTTCCTCCTCTTCTCCCGCTCCTGGCACCCAGCTTGGGGAGAGATTCTGCAGATCCCGTAGGACCCCCGGCCTCACCAGGCTGCAGTGGGGATTGTGAGAAATCATAGCAGTGAAAAGCTTGGTGTGATGGAAATGACATGTTAATAATGATGATACCTTGCATTTGTCTAACATTTCAGAGTTTGCAAAGTGCTTTACAAGCATTATCTCATTTGAGGCCCGCAATAACCCTGGGAGGGGGGCCCCAACCCTTCTTAAATTTATACCCTATAGAGTTTGCTTTGTCTCTATTTGTTTGCATGTTATCTCCCAGGCTAGATTGTAAGCTCCTTGAGGGCAGGAGCTATAGCTTTCTTTCTCTGTATTTGTATTCTGGCCCAGTCCAGGAAGCTCTTAATAAATGTTTATTGACTGACTATTTGAGGGATAGCTGGACAGATATCCAGAGTGGGAGATGGAATGTCCAGTAAGTCTAGGGAATAGCTAATTGTCTGGTTTGGCTGGAACAGCCAATGTGCAAAGGGAAATAGTGGGACATCAGCCTGATTATGGAAGGAGGCTGGATTTTATCCTGTCGTCAATAAGGGGCCCCCAAAGGTCTTTGAGCGCAGTGCCATAGTCAGACCTATGTCCTTGGCAGATGAATGGACTGGAGGCAGGAAGGCCACCTGGGAGGCTATTGCAGGAGTCACAACAAGACATGAGAAGGGCCTGTGCCTAGAGGAAAGGAACTCCAGAAAACTGGTCTTGATCCGAGTAAAGGCTGTGCATCTGACTCCAATATCTTTCTGAAACAAAGGCTCCTTAGTGTGGCCACCATAATAAAAGCGTGCTGACATGAATCTTAAGAAATTATACTTTGATCAAGGAGAAAGGGTTCCAAGCAACCACTTAAGCAAACATCTTTCAAGTATGGCTGTGGGCCCTCAGCCTTAGGAGTCCAGTTACCCAGAGGTAAGGAATGGGTCTGCCACCCCAGAAGCTACAGCCATGAGACTGGACAGCTCTGGAAAGCTCTTTGGGAGGAAGAAAACCCCAAAACTGGGTCCTGTGAAAAGCACCCTGGCCATCCTCCACTGAGTGGCCAGCTTGCTGTGATTATGTGAGCTAGCCCAGATTACATTTCCTAACTCTTGGTAAAGTGACTTAGTGAGGGAGAGAAGAGAATCTATTTCACTAGGGGCCATTTTTCCAAATGTTTCATGAAAATGATTTGGGAGAAGGTTGTTGATGGCTTTCTCTCTGCCTGTGCACATGCTGCTACCTCCCAGGTTTCTGAGGAAAGTGGTGGATGGATGGGCAGGAGGATGGCAGGGTGGGGCTTGGGGAAAGTGGGCTTTCTGTGACCCCACCCCAACTTTCAGCAGCAGCATGGGAGAGAGGGATGAGGGAACCAACTGGCCAGCAGGATTCCCTTCATCCTAACAGTGGGGAGCATCTGAGGCATTCCATTTGTATACCAGCAATAGTGAGGTGGGCGCCCCATGCTCTGATTGCTGGGTAGGCTCGGAGGTTTAAGGCTGAGCCTCCCTCCACAGTAAGGAAAGGTATAACAGGAGCTCGCTTTCTCAGGTGCTCCCAAGGTTGATGGGAGCTCATAGCTTGAGAAGTTTTTCTTTGTATCCCCAGTGCTTAGGAAGCCCTTAAAATATGCTTGTGAATTGGTGTTGATTGGTAAGCCCTATAATGGGTTCACTTGGGAGAAAAGGGGGCCAGCTCACCATTTTTTTCTTACACTAGTGATTTAATTGATAGAAGCAACTTCTCAAGAAGGAAACTCCCTTTTCTAGTGCAAGTCAGCACCCACTTGGTGACTCAGGAAGGGCCCTGGGACATTTGGGAAATGGTGAGCCCTTTCCAAACACCTCTCTTCTTCTCTGTCAAACAATTGTTCTTAGAGATTTAACTCCTGAAATCCCCTAACCAGGTAAAATAGGTGATGGCAGCAGGCATGTCCACAAACACCTTATTTTGAAGTGGATGATTTCCAAAAGTTGAGCCATTCATGGCCCTTCAAAACAGGACCTCAGTTTCTTCATCTGTAAAAGGAGGGGAGTGAAGTGACTTCCAAGGCCCCTTCCAGCACTAGATCCTTATGGCAGAAGGGGTGGCTGTGGGGGGCTCCTAGGGCCAAGGGTTGCATCAGTGTCAGATGCAGCGAAGTATTCCTCTTGGACAGAAGGGAAGGTTCAGTCTGGAGGAGGGAGAGGGGGGTGGGTATTTCCAGAAACAACTGTGATGTTAAAAAAAAAAAGACAAGTTGTTCTTTGTTGCCAAGACAGATTCCTAGTTCTTTTCTCTCCACACCATGAACTAAGAAAAGCTTTGGTTTGGGCTGAGCCCATTAGCATGATCTGCATGCTGGACTGTGCCCAGCCTAGGCCTGGCCTCAGGGGCAGATGTCTCACAAGGAATTCCCCATCCTCCTCAAAAGCCTCCTTAGAGGAAGGAGAAGGAGCCCCCGCCTTCCTGCCCACTTCTCTGCCAATCAGAGGATTTCACCTCAAGTCGCCCTGAGGTTTCATCCCTGTCTTCTTTGTTCCCCTTTCTCCATCACATATTTGTTTCCAGAAGTCTTCTTGGAAATAAGAGTCCCTCACCCTGGGCACCACTGAAGCCTCCCAAGACAGCACTTCATAGACTCATGTGGAAAGTCAGATTTAACCACAAACTCTTGGCTGCTGTACATTCCTCTATAGAATGAGAGTGTGAAGAGGTGACCTTGGTTAAGTCCTTTCCCCTACTTGGATCTCAACTTCCTCTTCTGGAAGATGAGGAGGTTGGACTTGAGGTTCTCCCAGTCTGCACCCCTATTTGTGAGGCCCCCATCTGGCTCTCGAGCTATGACTTCCATGATGGCTACTGGTGAAGTATCCTTATAGCAGGTAGGAGCTAGAAGGGACGATGAAGTAGCCCATGATGACAGCGTGGCCATTGGCCAAGGTCATACAGCCACCAAGTTAGCAAAGCTGGGCCGTGAACCCAGGGCTTCTGTCTCTAATACGCTTCTATTTGCGGTGTGGTTGGGATCCTCTACCAAGAATGTTGGTTATGAACAAAATATTCAACTCGGCTCACTTCTGTCTTGTCCAGTGGCCTCATTTTATAGATGAATTCAAGCAGCACCAAACATTTATTAGGCACTGCCAGCATGTCCCAAGCACTGCGTGGAGAACCATCTAGCAGCGGGCTGATCTGTATGGAGTCTTGGAAGAATGAAGAACCACATTGCTGTGCCTTTTCTCAAGGTTCTGGCACTTGTCGACACTCACCTTGGCCTCTTCCCCATTTGCCCTTATAGTGGGCTGGCCCATGGCCTAGGCACATCTGGGCCGGCTTTGGTATGAGCTCCAGTTTTCAAGGACTCTGTGACCTTACACAGTGTGACACGCCTGGAGAAAAGCTTGTTTACAGGTAATAGACATAGTAACAAGGCTTGTTGGCCTGCCTGACCTGCCTCCTGGAGCTACCTACTGGGCGGGATTCCAGGGTTGCCCATTGTCATGCTCAGGGAGGGCAGCTCCACAGCAACCCCTCTGGGCAACAGAGCAACCTCCAAATAGCTTGAGAGAACACTGAGGCTGGGACTCCAAGGCCTCTGCAACCTTCTCACAGGCCTTCAGGGCCATCTCTGGGCTGGACTTACTCAATCCAGTCTAACTGCGAGGGGCTGGCTCAGCTCCTGAAGGTTTTGGGGAAAGTAGCAGCCTGTACAACCTCCCCCACTCCTTGGCTGTTTGTGGCCTGGCCTCCGGCAGCCATCTGCCATGTTGGACTCATCGGTGGCTGACCAAATGACTCGGCTGAAGCTCAAACTCTTGGAAAAGGTAAGCTGGGCTGGCAGTGGGCCTATGGGCAAGGCCCAGGCATCACTTGGAGTCACCACATGGGTGCTGACTTGCACTAGAAGAGGGAGTTTCTCCTTAAGAAGTTGCTTCTATCAATGAAATCATTACTGTAAGAAAAAAATGGTAAGCTGGCCCCCTTTTCTCCCAAGTGAACCCACTATTGGGCTTACCAATCAATACCATTCAATTCACGAGCATATTTTAAGGGCTTCCTAAGCACTGAGGAGATCAAGAAAAAACAGAAACAGTGGCTGCCTTCAGGGAGCTTGAACAGTCTGTGGAGGAGCCATTGGTATAGGGATCTGTCCAGACAAGACTCAGGCAACCTTGGAGGGAAGGACTAAGAGCCCCAAACTACCCAAGGCCTGAATGCCCACAGCCATTCTTTTACACTTGGGAGGCCTGGAGAGGAAGGGGCCACCTTTCCATTTGGGTTTAGATGCCAGACTGTGCCCAGACCTCTCCCCAAATCAAGGAGACTTCTACTTGGTGGGTATTTCCATCACCTTTCCAGGCCATGGGAATTTCAGGCCTCCCTGTGCCAATCAGAAATCTCTGATTACATCCATGGTGGAGTCACACTTCTGTGACTCAGCTTTGGCAGCACATGAAAAGAAGAAAAACTTCCAAATCCAAAGTGCTGTAGGGTCCCAGGATGCCCGGATCCTAGGCCCCTGGCTCTGACCCGGACCACGGGTTAAGAGTGGACTTTGCTTCCTGAGGAGGCCTGGCACACATCAGAGAGGGAAGTGGGGGTGGAGGAGGCTGCAATCTTGTGGGAGGACTGAGAAGGGGCACAGAAGCATTGGCTGTGCCATCCTCACCCTCCCACCTTTACATGGTCCTTTTCACAGTGCTGTTGGGGCCTTGGGACATCATAGCATCCCAGTGTGAGATCTCAAGGGAACCTTGGAGGGCCCTTCAGCCAACCCTTCATTCTATAGTCAGGGAAATTGAGGCCAAGAGAGAGTAAGCCTCTTTCCCAAGGTCACTCACATAGCAGATGTCAGAGGCAGAATCTGTTCTCAGTTCCTCTGACTCCAGACAAAGCTGAGGACTGGGCCCCACCACCTTTTCCCACATCTGTCCCTGGGGGAGGAGAGACAAGGTGGTGCCAGCTATGCCTGCCGAGGGGTGGTCTGGCCCAGGGGATGACCTGTAGCACCAGGAAGGTATCTCCTGATGCCAGAAATGCCTTCATTGTGATTTACTTCTTTGATAGCAAGCGGTGACCTTTTTCTAAAAATGTAAAATCCCTAGGAGAGGTGACACAGTTCTGCTGCCCATGTTGTGTGATTCTGGGCAATTCCCACCCTGTCAGGTTCCTTGTCTGTAAAATGAGAGGTTTGGATGAAGTGGGCTGATCTCTACAGGATCTTTCAGACCTAAAGACTTAAAGATCCTCAGGTCCTGTGAGCCTAAAACCTTTATGTCTCAGAGGGATACAGAAACAGGTGGCAGACAAGCACACAGACAAATGAACAGACAGGCAGAAGACAGAGAGACGGACAAGTGGATGGACAGACAGAGGGATAGGCAGATGGGCAGGCAGACAGACAAATGGATAGACAGGTAGATGGACATGGAGATGGGCAGGCAGACAAATGGAGAGGCAGACAAACAGAGAGATGGATGGGCAGACAGACAATTGAACAGGCAGATGGACAGACAGAGGGATGGGCAGACAGACAGACGGATCTCTAGCTCCTTAAAGGCAGGGGCTGTTCTATGTGTGTCCCTAGAATCTTGCCCATCTTCACATGCAGTGGAAAGTGTTTAATTCGTGTTTGTTGAAGGATTGTACTATGTACCTCCACAGATAGGAGCAACGTACATGAGCTCTGTCTGACATGTATGCAGATCACGAATAAAGTGCTTGCTCACGCCCCTGCGGCCCAGATGGCAGCCGCAGAGGGTCAGTGCCTGCCAGCGCTCAGGCGGCTCCCGCCTGGCAAGAAGCTCCAGGACCCCAGGGCAGCCCCATTTGTAAGTTACTGAGTGTTCACTGGCTTCATGCCCTGGTTTCCAGTCTGGACTTTTTCTCTAATATTTTACTCTTCACAATTAACTTCTCCCTACTCCTAGAACCTCATCCTATGAATCAGATCACAAAGGACAGTTTTGTTTTGTTTTTCCAAGAGGAAAAAAGCCAGCTTAAAATCTCCCTGCCTCTGGATCTGGGGATCATCAGTCTTTCAGGGCAGGGCTGGGTGGGATTTCTAAGTGTGGGCAGGCATGTGGTGCAGAGGAAAGAGCCGTGGGCCCGTGGTCGGAGGATGTGGGCTCCAATCTGGCTCTTTTCCTCTCAGACCATCAGTCAATCCAGTTTTGGTCAGGTGCCTATTCTGCCCCCAGGGCTGGGGATGAAATGGCCCCTGTTGCCAGGGGCTCATACTCTAATGGGGGGGAGGGGTTGGACTTGGGGCCTCCGAGGTCCCTTCTGGCTCTAGGGGCCTCTTGTGATTTCTTCTTGGCAAGGGGCCTGCTGGGAGGTGGCTGCCTGCCTGGCCCTCAGGTATGCTCCCCAGAGTGGGACAAGCCCTTGGCATGGGTAAACCTGCCCTGCTGGGTCTCTCAGGGCCAGCAAAGGAGATTCCCTGAAGGACGGGTCTCCACGTGGGACGGTGATAACAAGAATGATAAATGGGTGTTTTCCTCCAACGTCCCGTGGTGTGAAGAAGTTTCAGGAATCCCAGACCTGGAGCTGGGAGGTCCTGAGGCCAATCATCGAATTCTTTCATTTCATATAGGGGGAAACTGAGAGCCAGGCTAGGGGAGTGACTTAGCCCAGGTCGCACTGGTAGCCAGTAGATCAGGATTTGAACTGGGTCCTCATACTCTCAAGTCAGGAGGACTCTTTCCACTGTAGCCCATGGCCTCTTCTCTGAACCTTACCAACACCCGATGAGGTACATATTATAATTATCACTTCCATTTGACATAGAAGATGGTGAGGCTCAGACAGAGATATAGCCACCATACTAGGGGCAGGATTCGAATCCAGACTACAAGTCTAGGCATCTCCAGAAGGTTACGCCCTTGGCTCTCCAGGCATAAGAAGCCTGGCTTTCCCCTCAGGGCTCCCCCGGCCTGCCTTTCTCTTCCATTCCTCTTCTATGCATGATTTCTCTGGTGCTGCTGCTGCTCCCTCAGTCCACGGGGCATCACAGCATTTTCTGGGGTAAAGGGAATCACTCTCCCGGGGCCAAACTGGTGGCAAGCGCCTCCCAGTGTACCTAGGCTGCTGCTCAGGTGACAGCGCGATCACCTCTGTGCCAGGACAGGACATCGAAGGATGGCTCCAGGGGAGGTGGGCTCAGTACGCTTTCTAAGAGGCTGCTCTTCTGGAAGGTCCTGGAAAAGCAGAGCAGGGCAGGCAGAAGGGAGGTAACCAGACACAGCTCTGCTACGTACTTCCAGTGTGACTTTGTCCCTTTCCCTCTGAGTCTCAGTTTCCCCTTTCAGTCTCTGTGAAATGAGAAGAAAGGCCCAAATGATCTGCCAGGTCCCCCTCTTCCCTCTCTAGATCACCCTTCACAGGGGCTTCAAGCTTCCCCAAATGCAGCGAGACCTGACCCTGACCCGACAACCTCGAGTCACCCTGCGTCCTTGCACAACAAACGTATGCCTGAGGTGTATACATTCCGTGCAGTGTAGATCCCCACCCTCGAGCCAGCCTGGTCCATGGCATCCCTATGGGGTTCACAGCACGTTCTTTGTCCACAGAAACTCGAGGCTGAGCGAGAAGACATGGAAGACACTCTGGAGCCATCCCTCCCTGTGCCAAGTAAGGGCTGCCTCCACCTCCCCCGGGGGCCTGGGCGCCCTTCCCTCAAAGGCCAAGTCATTTTTCCAAGGACCCTCAGTGCCCTTGACCCCATGTCCCCTCACTGCCCCCAGGGCCTTGCTCTACCGATCATTCGTTCACCAGCTATTGATTCCTTCACATCACTCAGCAACACTGTTTGTTGACAGAATAAATGCACGTTCATGAACGAGAAGGATCCTCTAGGTTGTGCATAGCATGGTGGGAATCATGAGGCTGCCAAGGTCAAGCAAGGCCAGGATCGCCCAGGACAAGAGGAGGCCGATGAACAATTGAACTTAGGCCTTCCATGGAATTCTGCCCCCTCCCCAATCTCCTACGAGTCCAGATGTTTCTACAGAGTTAGAAATTGTGGGTTTATCTGAATACAGAGGTCATAGGGTATAGTGGGGAGAGAGCTGCCCTTTGAACCAGAAAGACCTGACACTCCCTCCCCTCCGCCGCTGGCTGTGGGGCATTGGCCAAGTCCCTTAATTTCCCAGGGTCCCCGGCAACCCTTGACAGCTGTGAGTCGCCAGCACTGGAAGAGAGAATTTCCTCACCTGGGAATTCCCTATGGCAGTGAAATACCGGATCCTGTGATCCTCCCCGTGAGGACAAGGACAACTTTGTTTTGTCTTTGTGTCAGCTGCCCCCAGCACTAGGCGCCCATCAGACTCTTAATAGATGCTTGCTGTGTCAGCTGGCATTATGTTGTGTGGTGTCGTGTTGTGTGGCCGAATATTTGAATTGCGTTGTGTTGTGTTACACAGCACTGTGCCTTAGAGAGCTCCTCTCTGGAGGACTTTTAAAGGGCCAAGCCCAGTGTGTGCCTTGTTTTCCCCAGGGAGCTATGACGGAGAAGATGCTGTCCTACAGAGCGCCCTGAGGAGGAGGAAAGACCTGCTGCACAAGCTCCGGGTATGCTCATGGTGGCCGCACAGTCCTGGGGGCACAAGGCTAGCATCCCAGGAGATCTCCAGCCAGCCAGTGTGAGGCCTTCTCTTCATAGAGGAAGATACTGAGTCACTGGATGCGTCCCCCGGCCCTGCTCTGCTGGGTCCTCCCTGTGGGACCTTGTCCCTTCCCCTTGTGTCATAGAAGGAATCTCAGGGGCCATCCTCTCATTTTACAGATGAGCAAACTGAGGCCCAGCCGGGTGATTTGCCCAAAGTCACACAGCCAGCAGTAAAGCTGGGAACTGAGCTCAAACCCTTTGACTCCCACCCAGTGCCTTGCCTCCGTGCCCCACTGGACAGGGTTTTCTTCTGGGCCCTTCGTGGCCGATGGTTTGAAGTCCTGAAGGGGCAGCAGTCTGCCTTCCGTGTTATAAACCATAGACTTCAGAGAGGAAACAGATAGGCAGATCAGTACCACTGAGGCCCCAGAGAGCAATAAAAGCCCAGTCTCTGGGCTGTCAGGGATCTCAGAGGCATCTGGTCTAAGACTCCCCTCTCCATCCCACCTGGCCGGAGGGCATCTGCCTCAGTTTGCAGGCAGCCCTCCAGGGACAGGACAGAAACCCACTTCCTTCCTAAAATCACCCCCATTACCCTAACGGACCGTACATTCAGGATACCTGATTTGGCGCAGTGGATAGCGTGCTGGCCCAGGAGGCTCAGGAAGACCTGTTTTCAGTCTGGCTTCAGACACTTATTTGCCGTGTGACCCTGGACAAGTCACTTAACTTCGGTCTGCCTTGGTTTCCTCAACCATAATGGGGAGATAACAGCAGCATCTCCATCCCAGGTTGTTGGGCAGCTCAAATGAGATAATGTTTATAAGAAGTGCTTAGCGCAGTGCCCGGCACACAGTAGGAGCTCTGTCAGCCCTTCCCCTTGATTGTTGGCTGTGGGAGGACTGAATCTGCCCTGTCCACACAGCGGCCACGGCTGCCCTCCCGCTTGCAGCGTGCACTGGCTCCCTACATGGCTCTATTTGTAGTGTGTGTTTTGGCTGTGGTTGGATCCATACATGCACACATATGAGGACACGTGTACACATGTGATAACACTACTATGACTAGCATGTGCCAAGTGCTGTGCATGGCATCATAATCATCCTGGGGGGTAGGGGCGATCATACCCCTTTTACAGGTGAGCCATCTGAGGCGTTGACTTTCCCAGGGTCACACAACCGGTAAGTGCCTGAGTCTGGATTCCAGCGCAGGAGGGCCTGCTGATTCTCCCCACTGCACCTCCTGGCTGTCCCAGCCTTCACTTTTGCCTTTGTGTCCTCAGGAGCTGCCACAGTGTCTGGTTCACAGTAGGCACCTGAGAAGTGTTTGTTAATGGACTGATTGATTGATTACTGAAGGTGTTTTGGTTCATACTCAAAGCACTTTTGGGACACTGACTTTCAAAATACTCAAGTACAGTTCTCACCAAAGTGGTATTGACCATGCCAAGGCAGTTGAGTGGCACAGAGGATGGGGCACTGGACCTGGACTTAGGAAGATTTGAGTTCAAATCCTGTCTCAGACACTTACTAGCCGTATGACCGAGGGAAAGTCATTTCACAGCTGCCTGCCTCAGTTTCCTTGTCTGTAAAATGGGAATAATAATAGCCCCTCCCTCCCAGGCCAGTTGTGAGGGTCACATGACATACTATTTGCTCTTTGCAGGGAAGGGAAGGGAGAAGGGAATAAGCATTGATGACGGTGCCTACCACGTGTCAGACACGATGCTGAGCGCTTTACCCGCATCATCTGCTTTGATTTCCCTTGAATTGTCTAGACGCCAGCTGTTGTGATTTAGCCTTTCTTTGGTCAGTTGGGAGGTTCTTGTCATTGCTAGCCATCAGTTACTGTTACTACCGATCAATAACCAGCATGTGTATAGCGCCTCCCGCTTCGGTGGGCTCCCTAGTCCTACATCTGCCTTCCAGCCAGCATCTGCCCATCTCCCCTGCCTGTCTTTGCAGGAACAACACCTTCTAGAAGAGCTCTCTGGGCCCTACGGCTGGGGAGGGAACCCCAGAAGAAGCTACAGAGCAGAGGTGCCCCTAGAGGTGCCCCCAGTCCAGATCTACCCATCCTTCCCTGCAGGGCCTCAGCCAGAGCAGCCCAGGATCATCCAGCAGATGGTAAGGAAGGTCTTGCTCTCCCCAGACTCAGACTCAGGTGCTGGGAGGTGCACAGAGGCAATGGTGACCCCCGGGCCTTGAGTGGATTCCCCAGCAATGGCTCTGCTCCCTCTCTTCAGGAAAGCCTTCAGCCCAATGGAAGAGGCAGGTGGTGGCAATAGCTCAGTGGGAGTGTGGTGCCCAAATGACTGGGGCTGGCTACATTCACACTGACAGACTCGTCAGTCTCAGGGTCCTAACAGTCACCGTGGGGAAGGGTACATTCCTACTGCCAGCAACCTCACCGTATGCTTCCCACACTCCCAAGGGCACCATTGACTCCTAATCAGAATCGCTAAACAGAAGGCAAACAAGAACAGCTAAAATGGGACGTGCAGTGAGCCTACCTGGGCCCTTGGTACCCAGTATTTGTGGGGGAGAGTGGGCTTGAGCATGGGGGCCGCGTGTGAGTGGGCGCCATGTGCCAGGGTCAGCCTCTTGCCTGCTCCTCTGCCGGGGCGGGGGGGGGGGGGGGGGGTGCGGTGCTTTCAGCCAAACAGAACTCCTGGAGGGGAAGGGCAGACTTTTCCCAGATTGGTCGCTAGGAGTTTCCACCAGTTCTTTGACAGTCCATAGCAGTTTAGAGGAGGCAAATGCAGAATCAGCTTTTCCAAGTAGCAAAGATGTTCCTCCAGCAGACTTTTCTCAGCAGGAGGTGGCAGTACAGACCCAGCTGCCAGGACCCTTCTCAGACCCGCTCAGACCCTTTGGTCTTCTCCAAAGCAGGAATTTTTGTGTGAAATAACTCACCTCTATGTTGTGTTGTGGTGAGCAGCCAGAATCCCCACTTCAGTCATCCAAGCCACAAACAGGCAATATATACTTGTCCACTAGTTACTGAATAAGTCCTCCTGTCAATCGTATATCAATTAAATGGTGGGGATGGGGCGAGGAAGACACTGAGACCATCTTTGCTCTCAGTCCTCTTTTCTTCGGGGCTGCTTCTCACACAACTGTCCCTGGTTTTGGTACCTTCCAACAGAATTGTCCCAGTCAGAGAGGGACACCACCTTACCATGCCAATAGTAACAGTAGAGGTGTGTCTTCTAGTAAGCACTAAGTATGGAATGCCCAGATGTGAGAGCTGGAAGAAGCCTCAGTGGCCGTTGAATCCGGCTAATTAATGCATGAAAGGAGTGGTCACTCAGCCTCTGCACGAAGCCCTCCAGGGAAGAAGAAGTGAACACCTCACTGAATAGCTAGAACTCTGGGGAAGGTTTCGGCTAAAGTCAAGTCTCAACCCAGCTCTTTGTAGTTCTCCTCCCCACTCCCCCAATCGCTCCTGGGGCAAAATCTCATTTCTTTTCCTCAAATCACTCTTCACATATTTCCAGACATCAGGTTTTCTCCCATCTAGTGGGAGGATTAGGATTCCTTCCCTTGGATTCTCATACAGTCATCTTGGAAAATCAACAAGGCAGGCCTATGCTAAGCACAGTATATATACAAAGGCAAAAGCCAAACCCTCCCTGCCCTCAGGAAGCTTAGATTCTCACAACTTGCACATTTAAATAAACAAAATCTTTGGGAAGTAAATGCACCCTAACTTAGGGATGGGTGCTAACATCTGGGGAACTCATGGGAGAGGCAGCACGTCAGCATTCCAACATTTATTCCTACTGTGTGTTCTGTGTAGACTGCATGTGTGAGCAGCCTCTTGGATACTTTGGGCACTGAGGGGAAACATAACCCGGTCACTGTCTCCAGGACCTTATGTTCTCCTGGGCCTGGGGGCCTGGGAACAGGCAGACTTTCCGGAGGCTCCTGGAACCGATCCTCTGGGCTGGTGCACCCCAGCCCCTCGAGCAGGAGCATGTCCTGGGGGGTCGTGATTGAGAAGGGGCAACCCCGGAGGCAGACCGAGGAGGACTTGGCCCCTCCAGAGTGGGGAAGGTAGGATGAAAAGAGCCTGTGGTTTCCATGCTGAGAAGCTGGATGCCTCATCCGGTGCCAAGGAGACCTGTGCTCCTTGAGAATTCTGTCAGCTGTGGCCTTTGGGAACCAAGAGGAAGTCCCCACCGTCAGCCCTTGTCTCAAGGGCCAGCTGCGGTTAAGTGCAGGGAGGGTCTCACTTGGAGGCAGGGGACCCCTCGCCCACCAGGCTGGAAGCCCGGTGCCTCCTGTGGACCTGGCGTTTCCTAAGGTCCCTTTCAGTTCTGAATCCTCCATTTCCATGAAGGCCTGTGAAGCAGGCGTTAGTGGTGTGAGAAGGACCGACAGGAGAGGATTGGGGTAGAAACCTTCATTGAACACTCCTAGGTACCCCAGCCCCCGGCAACCATCATCCAGCAGCTGCCTCAGCAGCCCCTCATTACTCAGATCCCCCCAGCCCAGGCCTACCCTGCCCCCAGGTCAGGGAGCGTCAAGGAAGGTAAGGATCTCCCCCCACCTCTCTCTCTGTCCCTCCCTCCTTCTCTCCCCTCCCCGCTTCTCTCTGTCTCTCTCTCTGTCTCTCTCTGTCTCTCTCTGTCTCTGTCTCTGTCTCTCTCTCTCTCTCTCTCTCTCTCTCTCTCTCTCTCTCTCTCTCTCTCTCTTTCTCTCTCTCTCTCTCTGTCTCCCCCACTCCCACTCCCTTTCTCTCTCTCTCTCTGGCCCTGACCCTGAGGATCTCTCTTGTCTCAGACATGGTAGAGATGATGCTGATGCAGAATGCACAGATGCACCAGATCGTGATGCAGAATATGATGCTGAAAGTCCTGCCGCCCATGGCCTCTCCCGCCAACGAAATGAACCCGCCTTGGCTTCGGCCTGCTCAGCAGGTAGGTGTGCCTGGGAGGCTCAGTCAAGGTGGATGAGGACAGCAGGGACAAGTCAGAAGAGGCTGGCTTCTGTCTGCATGCTGGGGGCACTAGTGTCTCAAGGATGCCCTGGCCGATACACTGACCAGATGAGCACCCATACTCTGCCCAGCTGCCATGATTCACACTTACATCCAGCCTCTAGACGAGGGGGCTTCTCCCTGGGGGGGCTCTTGCCCTGTATGGAAATGACTGGACCTAGCAGTCAGTGCTCCCCAAATCCTGTTCTTGCTCCATGGGGACTAGCCTGGGGAGCCAGGCCTCTCTGGCTAATTCTGCAGGAGGTAGCCTGCTGACTCCGGCTGAGCCCAAGCCTAGGACAGGAGGCAGTCTCTGATGTCCCTGTCTTCCTTCACTCCACATTATTGTCCAGGCACTCATATGGCTCCCTGAATTCTGTCTGTCTCTTAAAGGCAGTTTCACTGTTTCTCCATTCACGTCACCTGCCTCTACCACAAATATTCTGGGGGAACTAAGTCTTGCATAAAATCAAGACTGTATAAGATGGATTAGGAACATTCTTTAAAGGGCCCGGGTGGGGGTAGAATTCATGATTGTGGCCAGCTCTCTGAACACTGCATTGCTCAGCCCTCCCCTTTTCCCAGCGATGCTATTGTCTTCAATTGGGGTACTCTCCTAATCCCACCCCGGACACTTGATAGCTGTGTGACCCTGGGCAAGTCACTAACTGCTGTCAGCCTCAGTTTTCTCATCTGTAAAATAGGGCTACTAAGAGCTCCTGCTTAACATAGTTTTTGCAAGGCTCAAATGAGAAGATCTATGTAAGGTGCTTTCCAAATCTTAAAGCGCTGGATAGAGACGAGCCATTTTTAACCCTATTGAATTCAGGATGTAGTTATGAAGTACCTGCTTTGTATCTTGAAGTTTACTAGACACCAACCTGGCAAAGACAAAACCGAAATGGCCCTGGCCCTCAGAGGTCCACGGTCACCTTGAGTCTGTAGAACAGACTCTTCTCTCCAAGTCGAAGGATGCTGCCTCATGGTCAGCCTGCCCATCACTGGGCCTGCACTCAGCTGCCGGCCTGGTCTTCCAGGATCGAGGGGCGGTGACAGGCAGGGGCATTAGCTCATTGGTTTAGAGGTGGGCAGAGACTTCGGGGCCATTCTCAACAGTAGCCCCACCATTAACCTGACATCCAATCTCTTCTGGCTTAATAGTGATGCCCTCACATTACAGAGGGGGAAACTGAGGCTTAGTCCCAAAGTCAGCCAGGTAGGTTCAAAGGTCCACAGACCAGAGGCGGAAGGGATTATGGGGTCCGTCCGAGGCAACCCCCTCCTGCTACAGGACACCCAGAGGTGAAGCTGCCTGCCCAGAGTCTCCTGGCAGGAGGCGATAGAATCTGAGAAGGGAGTCAGCCCCGGGAAAGCCTTCTCCTGCTGGGCAGAGGATGGCTCCCATGCCCATCCTGCCCCCTTCTGGACAAAACCTCCTTCCCCTTCTCAGCCTCCTTCTATACATGGCAGCAGTGCTCCCCTGGGGTCCCCTGGGCTTATCCGTGTCACCTGGAGTGGTGGGCCACGCTGACCTGGGACCATCACTCCTCTCCTCATGGCTAAACCTTTTTACCTACTGCAAGAAAAAGGGGTTTTATTTATTTGTTTGTTTATTTATGGTTTCTTTTTTCTTTTTGGTGAGGCAGTTGGGGTTAAGTGACTTGCTCAGGGTCACAGAGCTAGTAAGTGTCAAGTGTCTGAGGCTGGATTTGAACTCAGGTTTTCATGAATCCAAGGCCAGAGCTCTATCCACTGGGCCACCTAGCTGCCTCAAGAAAAAGGGGTTTTGAGGACCTTTTGCAACTCACTTTTACCCTTTTTGGTCACTTTATGTGCTAAGGATCCACAGTTGGCATTCCGAGCTGAAAAGCCAAGGGCTTCCTCGGTCCACCATCATCACCATTACAGCCCCCCAGGCCTGCAGGCTCTCCCTGCCTCTCTGCCCCTGGTAGGCTACCCCATATGGCCTTCCCTGCTTCCAGCCCAGGCCATGACCCAGGCCCCAGGCTTCCAGCCCGCCATCCGGCACATGATGGGGCCCACAACCACCATGCCTGCTCTCAACACGTAAGTGCTCTGGGAGCCCTCCACCCCCAGCCCCATCTACCCTCTTTCTCAGGCTCTTGTGAGGCAGAAGGGGAAGGATACAGGGGTTGGCTATTGGCCTAGCATTTCCAGAGCCCACCTTCTGGGGGGAAGGGGAGCAAAGGTCAGACGTAGACTCAGGGGCCTGGGTTCTGGTTTCCTGCTTGTTACTCAGCAGAGAGAGGGCTCGGCGGGGCACAAGAAGACCCATTTATTTGGCAAGTCACAGGCCCTTTCCGAGCCTCAGTTTCCACAACTAAGACAGGTGTCAGAATCGCTGTACACCTGCTTGCCAGGGTGCTTGTGAGTGCCGAAGGAGATTCTGCCTGTGTGCAGGCACGAAGATTCAGGGGGAGGAAGTGTCTATTACTGTTGGTAGCACTTGGGGGCCCTAGGATGTGGGTCCTGAACCTCAGTTTCTCCATCAACCATAATTATGACTGGCATTTGTATCCCAAAGCATTTTGTAGACCTGGTCTCCTTTGAGCTCTGCACACCAGTGCTATGAGGTATGGGGATACCCATTTTACAGAGGATGAAACTGAGGCTCAGAGTCATGAAGGGACTTGCCCACAGCTACCTAGCTAGTGAGTGGCAGAGGTAGGTCTTGCACCCACCTCTCTCCTGCTCAAATCCCTTTACAGACCGTGGTCAAATGAGGGGCTCCAGGGTCCCCAGAGGCAACAGGAGGAGCAGGAGGAAGAGAAGGGGAAGGGGAGGGTCTAGGACGAGCCAGCTCCCAGTCCAGCCAAGCCAGCAAGTTGCCTGGCATAGCCAGCTTAAGTGGCCCACATGCCAAGTGATGAGACCAGCAAATACAGGTGGTTCGCAGACTGCCCATGCTCCTTCCCTAGGCCAAGATGGAGGTGGTTGGAGGAGCCAGAGACAGTGGGGGACAGGGCCACTTAGGAGTTTCCTTTCTTTCAAGGGTAGCATCTGACGGAGCCCTCCCCGGTCTGCCGCCAGGCTTGTAAGCCCTGCAGGGCTCTAACACTGGTAAGTGGTTCCAAATTTTAATTTTTATTCAGTTTTCACAAAAGGCAGACAAAGTATAGGCAAAACACCTTCAGCTGAGCATTTAGCAAGCACCTGCTGTGTGCCAGGCACTGCGCTGGGAAAGCAAAGGCAGAGGGAAGCTGCTCTTGCAGAGGATGCTGATTGCGCAAGGATGCCCTCACGGAGGCTCTGATCAGAGGTGGCCGAGCCCAGATCGCCAGAGAGGACCCGGCAACACCGGGCAGCACGTGCTCGCCACAGCCCTCCTTTGCTGGCATTACTGTGGGTCCATCCAGACAAGCTTGACCTGCCTCAACCATTCCCCTGGGCAGAGGCAGCTGCTGGGGCCACCCGGCCCTGCTCTGAGCTGTGTGTGCAGGGCCCCAGGCCCCGCTGGCAGACCCTCAGATGGAGAAGGGCGCGGCTTTTCCACTGAAGAAGAGGAGGATAGGATGAGACATCCTCCGTGCCTGTCGTTCCCACCGTTCAAGAGTGAATTGTCTGTATAATGGGCGTCATATTGCTTGCCTTCTCACTGACGGAGGAGGGGTGGGAGGGAGGCAGAGAACTGGGACCTACCAAGCTCCTGTTGGTCTGCTGAGCCACGGTCAGCCCCACTGTCACCGGACCCCAACATGGGGATGTCCAGAGCCAGGGACAACAACCAGGCTTCTATCCTCAGGGCCCATTTCCCAGGGCTGTTTCCATCCCAAGGAAATGAGCGCTGTGGGCTTTTCTCAGCCCCATACCTACATTCCTGGGTTCCCATTCACTCTGTCTCCTGCGGCTCTTCATCTGTTGTTTCATGTGAAATCAGTCGATAAGCAGCTCTGGAGGACCCAGGCAAAATGGAACAGGCACTGCCTGCCTTCGAGAAGCGCTCATTCAGCTGGTACAGATACTCAGTCAATCAGCAGACATTTATTCCTTTATTTAAACTAACCTTTTTTCTCATTTTCTTCTTTAAATTACATTGTGTTTTATTTTCACGTGAACATTTACCTTTTCTCTCACCCACCTCCTGTCTTCCTTTTTGAGAAAACAAGAAAAAACAACCCTTGTTACGAACACATATAGTCAAGCAAAACTCATTCCCACGCGGGCCAAAGCTTCCGTCTGCATTTCTGCAGGCAGGTGGCGGGCTTCCTCAGGAGTCCTCTGGAATCGTGGTCAGAATTCCCGACTTGTCTGTACGTCTTTGCCATGTTGTTATTGTATCCGTCGACCTCCTGGTTCTGCTCACTTCAGTCTGCAGCAGTTCATGCGCGTCTTCTGAGGTTTCTCTGAAACCTTCTTCATCCTTTCTTACAGCACTCTATGGCATTAATACGCCATAACTTGTTCAGCCATTCCCCAATACTTTGCCACTACAAAGAGTTGCTATAAATGTGTTTATATTTAGGGATCCTTGTCCTCTTTCTTTGATTTCTTTGGGGTACAGCTTTCCTAACAGATTTGCTGGGTCAAAAGGGTGTTTGCACAGTCAAATAGCTTTCTGGGAGTCTTTCCAAATTGCTTTCCCAAATGTCGAGCCAGCTTGCAGCTTCACCACCAATGCATTGGTGCACCCATTTTTCCACCGCTTGTCTAGCATTTGTCATTCTTCATTTCTGTCAACTTTTCCAATCTGATAGATTCGAGCTGGAATCTGAGAGTCATTTTATTTTGCATTTCTCTGCTTACAGTGATTTGGAGCATCTTTTTCACATAGCTTGAATTTCTTCCTCTGGAAACTGCTTTTAACAAGCATTTATGACAAGAGTGCTTCATACTGTGAATACAATATAATAATAATAACATCTATACAGCACCTACTGTGTGCCGTGCACATGATAAGCACTTTGCAGTTTTCATCTCCTTCGCTCCTCATGGCAGCTCTGGCAGGTAGAGGCTATCACGGTCCCTAGTTTGTTCAGTCCTTTCCATCTTGCCCAACTCTTAGTGACCCCATTGGGATTGTCTTGGTAGAGATCCTAGACTGGTTTTGCCATTTCCTTCTCCAGCTCATTTAACAGATGAAGAAACTGAAGCAGACAGCATTAAGTGACTTGCCCAGGGTCACCCAGCTAGTAAATCTCTGAGGCCAGATTTGAACTCAGGTCTTCTTTACTGCTGGCCCGGTGCCTTATCCACTGTACCACCCAGCTGCCTCAACATAGGAGAATGAAATAGTCTTTGCTGTCAAAATGCTCCCCATCTACTGGTTCACTAAATCCACTAACCTTGTGTTATACCTGCCGTGTGCCACTCCTTGAACTAGGTGCTGGGAATAGAAAGAGAAAGCTGAGCCCTCAATGTGCTTACATTCTTCACTGCTTTTCTCTTGAAAACTCCCAGAAATTCAACCAAGAGGATGACTTGGGGAAGCTGGGAGAGTCACTGAGCCGTGGAGGAGAGGCCCGTCTGGTGGCACCCAGTGAGCCTCAGGGGGGCAACAGGACAAGGGCTGCCTTCCAACTTTATCTCCTTCCTTTGTTTGGGTGTCCGGCACGTGCCTTTGTCCTCTGAGGGAGGCAGGAGAGGCAGCCAGCCAGCACTGACTGGCTCCTTATTTTACAAGGGGAAGCTTTATCCAGAGATGGAGACGTTCTCTTGAGTCGTCAGAGTAATTTAGGGGATGAACATGCTCTTTTCGGCTACCACTCCAAACCCGAGGTGTATGTGATGGATGGAAGGGAGAGCACAGCAAAAATCCAGCCACCCCTGGACAGGGGGCTTGTGTGGGACATGTCCAGGATCTGAGCAGATAAAGGGAAGGTCCCAGGGCAGGGGTGGCTGTGGCTGGGAGGCTCCAGCAACGATGAGCATTTTCATTTCACTGTGTAGGTCCAAGTCTGAAGCTGCCATGAATTTGAGAAGGCTGAGTGGGACCACTAAGTCATAACAGATGTCCCTGGAGAAGGGAAGCCAAGCAGGGCAGTGAGGGCCTTGCTGTTTGGCCCGGCTGCAAAGCTTGGCCCTGGGGGTGGCTGGAGGAAATGAGCATCCCATGGCATTCTGGAGAATAAACAATGACCAGACAGAAATGTGAAGCTCAGTTCCTTGTGGTTTGTTTGCAAACGAGTTGCACAACACACGCGTCCCTTCCCCCATCTTTCCTCCTTTTCTTCTCTGTGTCTTTTCAGACTTTGCTCCAATGCCTTGGGTTATTATCATTGTCATTTCCAGTGTTCTCGTTTCCCTGCCCAACAGGGAGGCTGGCAGGGAGACACACACACACACAGTGGACAGACAGGTGGGATCCAAACCAGCCTTACAGATTAATTCCATTACAGGTGTATGTGGGCAGTAGCGGGGGAGTGGGGTGGGGAGTGTGAAGGGAATGGGCCCCTGCAGCAGGAAGGGAAGTGAGAGCAGGGAGGTCCAGTGGAATCCCTGCAGAGTGGCCCATCCTGGCACAGTCAAGGTGTGAGCTCACATCCCCCTGTCTCCAAATACAGAGCTCTCGCCTCTGTAGCAGCCTGCCTCTTAAAATCCCTCCAAGCCACAGCAAGACCTGCACTGTGCTTCCTTGTCCAAGAAGTCCCGTTGGCACATCCAGAAGGTAAATGAGAAGGGGTTGGTCAGGGTCACGTGCAAAAGCAGTGAAAAGGGCTGAGTCTGCAAGAGATACACATTTCCAAGGAATTAACTGGAAACCGAGGCGTGCTCATTGATGGGATAGAATGAACATATGATGGCCGATGAATACGACAGAAAATGACTGTGCTCTAAGACGTGACTGTGGGATGGAGAAGGTTTTGCAGAAGCCAGGGGAGACCCAGATGGCCTGATGTAAGCGAAGAGAGCAGAACCAAGAGGATGTTCGTCAAGGGATACCGTAAAGACAAATGACTTTGAGAGATGCGAGATCGGGGATCAGTGAAATGGCCAGCCAAGTCCCAGCATCCAGTGCCACACGAGGGAGCATTCCCCGCCTCCTCCTGCTACAGCTGGTGACCCAGGCTACAAGAGAGGCTGACATCTGGATGTGGCCAATGGCGGGGATCAGTTTGGTGACCACACACAGTTGTTGCAAAAGAGTTTCTTCTTCTTCTTCTTCTTCTTCTTCTTCTTCTTCTTCTTCTTCTTCTTCTTCTTCTTCTTCTTCTTCTTCTTCTTTTTTCAATGGGGGAAGGATGGGAGGGAGAAAAAATAGATTCTTGTTGATTGAGACAATTTAATTTACAAAAGAAAGTATTGCTTTAGAAGCATCAATAGAAAATTCTGACTCATAATAAACACTGCTTTATAAATGTAAGAAAAGTTTTAGGGGGCAGCGAGGTGGCTCAGTGGATAGAACACTGGCCCTGGAGTCAGGAGGACCTGAGTTCAAATCCAGCCTCAGACCAAATACTGGACGCTTACTAGCTGTGTGACCCTGGGCAAGTCTCTTAA